TTTCTATTCTGTTTTTAATGGCACTATTTTTGATAGGTTGGTCTGTTTTTCCCCTTTTTTTCCCTTTCTTCCTGTTGCTTGTCACCTTCTTGCCACTTTCCCTCATCTATTACCTCTGTTTGGTTGGTTGCCCAATAGTATACACCTATGGCAATGTCATTTCCCTCCCTTTTATATTGACCTAAATGCATTCAAGACAGTTTTCATCATTGTTGTGCTCTATTTCTGTAGAGATGTAGTTATTTCTTATATAGAGAGCAACTCCATCTCCTCTTTTATTTGGTCTGTTTCTTTTAAATAATTTGAATCCCTCTAGCTGTGTGTTCCATTTGTGGGTTTCATCCCACCAAATTTCCGTAAAGGCAACAATATCATATCTGCCCTCATTTACCTGAATTTCTAATTCACCCTCTTTGTTGCTCATGCTCTGTGCGTTGGTGTATAGACATTTGAATCCTTCATGACTGACCCTGTGTTTACTTTCTACATAACCTGTGTGGTGCCTGAGTTCCCCTATTTTCTTATCACATGTTTGATTAGTGCACTTTGTGTGGCACTCGCTATTATAAGCTTGATTTTGCTTGACAGCTAGGTTGATATTCTTGTCCACACAAACATCTATGTTATATGCACTGATAACCCTATAATTTTTAGATTGCTGGGGACAGGGATGTTCTGTATCAATTAACTCACTGTCCCCGTTGTTTAGTTTAAATATTTCTGCAGAAAATCTGTGAATTTATTGCCAAGTAACTCTGTCCCTTTCTTTGATGGATCATTCTAAACCATCTCTTTTGTACACTTTTTCATTGGACCAACTGGAGAAATCTTGACTAATATAACCAAAGCCTTCCCCTTTATACCACTCCTTTAGCCACATATTGAATTCTCTGAAATCATGATAATAAATATACTAATTAATATGTAAATTAAATGAGATTGTATTATTCTTGTAGAACCTCAGTTCATATATTCAGATGTGTTAATTCAGAGGTCCCCAATCTTTTGGGCACCAGGGACTGGTTCCGTGGAGAAAGGTTTTTCTGCAGACCGGAGGGTGCGTGGTTTTGTGTGCTGCCTGCATCCCACGGATGGGGCTTTGCTTGTTTGTGTGGATCGGTTGCTGGCATGCCGCAAACCGGTACTGGTCCACAGACCAGGGATTGGGGACCCCTGTGTTAATTAATATGTTGACAAATGTTAAGGCAAAGCTGAAGCATTCATTGTCTGTTCATCTATCCATCTTCGAACCAACCATCCATCCATCATTTGGGAGGGGATATATCTACTTAATTCAGTCTTAGTTTTGAGTAGACATATCTAAAACTGCATAGCTAGCCATGCTTTCTCAAGCCACTAAATTTAGATATATAATTAGGTAAATGAAATCAACATTTGTTATAAGAAGTTCAAAATATCTCTCAGAATAGTGTATATTTTACAGAATGGTGTATGTTTTAAATGTACACTTATACTATTTATAAGTGTTTAGCTTCTACAGATTTTGAAAATGCTAGTAGCAATCTTTTTATTTGTTTGTAATATTTGCCCAAAATTAATATTGAAGGTAAAAAATAAAGTCCAATTCTTTGGGCAAGTCATATAGATGAGAGTTAAAGCATGTTGTTTGGGTCTTATGTGAAGTGTTCTGATGTTGTCCCAACTATTCTGGAAGTGTTCCCAACTCAAAAATATTCTGTCTTCAACCAAAATATATGGTTGTTTCAAGGTTGAAATGTTTCAAGTTCTAAACACTTTGCACAGCACTAGAAGTATACATGAGCAATTGCCTTTTTGAAAGCAATTCACAATTGGATTACATGCGATAAATGTTTCTTGCTAACTGAATCAAACAACATGCTTCTGTACAACTTCAGATTATAAAACAAGTGCATAAAATGCTGTATAATTAAAGATGCATTCTAATTAATCATTGTTTTTCTGTTAAACAAATTTTCAGTGGCAGTATTCTTGCCATTATTAACCTAATAATGGAAATTGCAATAATAGAAGTAAATTAATGTGGTGGGAAAACATTTAGAGTAATGTTCTAAATTAAATACGACATTAACAAGTCTAATGTTTAAATGCTATATAATTAACATTTGTTCAGTTCCTGACAAATTATAATAATATAATTTTTAGTAGCTTTATTTATGGTTCAAGATATTCTTTGATAAACATTAAATGAGCCATGCTTTCTTTTATTTCTTTATGATATACTATACATGCTCTGTATTCATGAAGAATACATTACTTTTTCAAGTAGTATGCCATGATTGTTAAAGGATTTGGTAATATAAGAATGCTTTATAGAGCCGTGGCAGCGCAGTGGTTAGAATGCAGTACTGCAAGCTATTTCTGCTGCCTGCCACTGCCAGCAGTTTGTCAGTTCGATTCTCACAGCTCAAGGTTGACTCAGCTTTCCATCCTTCCAAGGTCAGTAAAATGAGGATCCAGATTGTTGGGAGCAATATGTTGACTCTGTAAACTGCTTAGAGAGGTCTGTAAAGCACTGTGAAGTGGTTTATAAGTCTAAGTGCTATACTATTGCTATTGCTTTAGGTGTAACAGGTACAAAGATGATCATATCTGCAGTACAGTAAAATATTGGAATCCCTAGTATTCCTTCTCAGCACATGCATAGCTCTGCTAAGTCCTTGCAAATAAATATTGCTGAAGTGCTTTTTTTTTTTTGGTAAGAGCACTTAATGGGAGATTGAAAACAAAGGTCAAAAAGCAATGAAAATATAACCAAAGCAACAAGAAAGACCTTACTAAGTTTAATATGTGACCAGGGATATTAAATGCTGCACATTACAGTAGTATTAAAATTCAAACTAGACAGATAACAAAGAAGAGATGGTATGGAATAAAATATGGTTCAGTATTTCACTCTGATATGCCTAGTTTCATTTAATGAACAAATTGCATGTTAAGGAATGATCCTTGGTCAAACCTCTTTCAATTCCTGGTCAAGAAAGTGTGTCTCACGAGACCTTGCTGAGATTTTTAAGAGCTGCCAACATAATTCTGTCTTATTTTGTGAAATGTACATACTTTTGTTCACTTGCAAAGTAGGCTTCTAAATCCTCTTGAAGCTGTAAGGCAGCTATAGCCTTTTGAGGGTAGGCTACTTTCTGGGGTTTCTCTCTCTCTCTCTCTCTCTCTCTCTCTCTCTCTCTCTCTCTCTGTGTGTGTGTGTGTGTGTGTGTGTGTGTGTGTGTGTGTGTGTTTGGAACTCTTTCCAAATCAGTTCTGCAAACAAAACAAATTTTAAAAAACCTAATATCTAAATATTTCTACATATTCACCTAAGACTATAACTGGTGAAAAATTAAATTCCTAAGTAGCTATTGAAATTAAGTTCACTTAATTGGAAATGGCATTGAAATGGCATTTCAAACTCATACTCAATACATGTTTTGCTTTCAGGCACTTATGCGTGGTCCAAAACTCGGTAAATCATGCAGAATGTCTGCCACAATTCCTTTTAACCCAAGTGAAACATAACATGACATAGCACATGCATCATTTCTTGATTAAATTTGATGAACCTCAAGTCATTACCCAGTAAATTGGAAATGTTACTTGGTTAATGTAACCCAAATAGACAGCTTTCATGAGTCATAGGATTTATGGCTGCTAGTACTTGACATTGATAATAAAATGCCATATTTTCCTGTCCCTTGGAAATAAAAGATAACACCCTGCTACAATTAGGCATCCTTTGCTTTATATAAGAGGACAGCTAGTTCTGTATTTGTTTCTTTTATGAATATTTATTTGAGAAATAAATGAAAACAATCACACTGCTAACAGGAGACTGCCTCTATATTTTTAAATTTAAACTTTTTAGAGAATGTTTAAAAATGTTCTGAACAGTTTAGATAACCAAGTTAAAACACCTATGATCAGGTTAGACCTGTTAATTTCCTTATAATCTTGTTAAAGAAGGCAATATTATATTATGTGTTTAAGTGTGATTTTGATTCTGGCAGCAGAGAAATATGTTTATTTATTTATTTATTTATTTTTAAGACTTATATGCCGCCCTTCTCCCCACGGGACTCAGGGCGGCTCACAGCATATTAAAACAACATAATACATTTCCCCAATAAAAGCCAATTAAAAACCAAATATTTGTAGCTGTGTCTCTTATTAAAATCATTAAAAATTATCCCTATTTAAAATTCACCCTAGGTCAGTCCC